TTCTTGACTGCCCAGCTCTCACATCCATACATGGTAATAGGGAATACATGGCCTGTATGATTCTAACTTTTGTGCTAAGCTGTATGTCTTTCCATTTTAGGATTTTTTCTAGTTCTTTCACAGCAGCTCTCTCCATTATTTTCCTCTGATTTCTTGACTGCAGTCCCCATTTCTATTAATGTTTGATCAAATTTCTTCATTGTCTAGGTTGAACCTGTGAAGGTCCTTGGTAGTCATTATTTTTGTTTCCTTTATGTTCAACAGTAAGCCTGCCTTTGCATTTTCTTCTTATAGGGCCATACAAAGTTCTATTTTATCCCCAGATACCTCAATATAAGCTCTAGATTCTTCAGTAAAATATGAAGCTATGTAAATTAGTTCAGTAGAACTTTTGGAGTAAAGTGCCAGGTGAAGTGCCGAAACAAGATCCAGAATAAATAAAGGGTTGCATTAGGGTCAATTAAATGAAGATAAACACTGACAAAAAGGAGACACCATGAATAAGCATGCAATTTGCATAACACCCATTCATCTTGAAGAAGCAGGTAAGTACATATGTTGTTTAAATAACTGTCCTCAAGCCAACACCATCACTTTTCTTCAACACCATCACCAGGTGGTCACAGTAGCAAGAAGTATATCATATATCTCATAAGCCCTAAGAACACTCCAAGACCCAGTGTGGCATACTGCTTTGAGTGTTGGACATCAAGTCTGGAGATCAGGGTTCAAATCCCTGCTCAGACATGGAAATGGTGGAAGAGTTCTGGAATGTGGTGCATGCAGCCTGGGAATCAGAAAGGAGGTATATTAAACTGGCTAAGAGTTGCCTCGTGAGGCTGGGAGAAAGTGAAGAGGGACAGTATAATCTGATCCGTCTGGGGTCAAGCAAGCTTGCAGACACAAAGGAATGATTTTGTTTGGTAAAAACAATATTTCTTTCATCTGGAGAAGTCTAGGAAACATTATAGGAATATCTTCAACACTTGACTGTTACATCCAGGATGCATGATTATCAAAGGTGTTTATGGGATATACCTATGTCTAGACATTGTATACATTCTAAAGCACAGGATTATAGTGGCAACCTGTCTTTGCTCTCTACAACTTTAGTATTTTGTAATTCGGTGGTCTGAGCATTGGAATATGACTCTGGACACCAGGGTTCAAATCCTCTCTTGATCATGGAAACACACTGGGTGACCTTGGGCAAGTCACACTCTCTCAGCCTCAGAGGACGACAAAGGCAAAAGCTTAACTGAACAAATCTTGCCAAGAAAAATTATTTATTTATTTATTTATTATATCCCGCCTTTTGCCTAAGCAATCAAAAACCCCATCATAAGTTCACCTTAGGATCACCATCAATCAGAAACAACTTGAAGGCACACAACAACAACAACAACAACAACAATACTCCAGTTGAATCAGACCAAGGCCTAACTAGTCTAGAATTCTTTTCTTATAGTGGTCAACCACATATCCATGGGAAACCCACAAGCAGGACTTTGACCACAATATCACTGTCCTCTTATGTCGCTCAGCTTGTGCTATTTAAAGTTATAAAATGTCTAATAGTGAGCATAATGTATTCTATGTACCAGTACAATTTCATTTTAAAAAAGCCTTTTAGTGAAGTGTAGAACTACTGTTCAAGGAAATTCATACATTACCTCGTGCAAACTAGTTTTTACCAAATAGAAAGTTATTTGTCAACTACATTTCGACAAAAAAACAAACAAACCCAACCTTGTCCTGACAACATCAAAGTCAATAGAGCAGGATGATTTAACAATACTTGATGACACACTGGCCATAATATTTTAGAGGCATGTTGGCATCAAAAATTGGAGACACAGAGGAATAAAAGGAGGCAGGAATTATAACTGAACAAATTGCAGTTGACTTTTTTACCTCTTTCATTCTTTTGTGCAAGTTACTTTGGATTCCACAGCTTAAGGGCACTGTTGCGTGAAAAAAAAAAGAATAATCTGATTTTCTACACCAACAGTACTTGCTGGATCTTGGAATTGCATTCAGACTAAAGACATTCTTTGGAAGCAATGAAGTGCTGCCTTGCTTCCAGAGACGGGATACTCATTAGCAAGGAAAAAGCAAAACCAAGAAAGAAAAAAAAGCACTTGGGAAGTAAGTTATTTGCATCAAAACTAGCTGTGCTCTGGGGCATTTGGCAAGGAATCCCAATGTTCATGAGTGCATTAGGTTTATGCAAGCTTACTTTCAAGGTTGAAGGAAATCACACATATCATCTTCTAATCCATGGTTCCCAACTTGGGTGCCTGAATGTTGCTAAATTACAAGTCCCATCTGCCACAGCCATATACTTCATTGCATCAGCAGAGTTTAACAAAGCATCTAATACCGTTGATGCACAGAAGCCCATGATCTAATAAACCAGCTAGTCTTAAAGATGTCACACAGTTCCTTTTTCCTGCTTTTTACCCTTCATTTTATACTGAAACAAACTAATTCAGCTGTCAATTTGAAAGTTACCCAACATCCTGGTGGCATTGGGAGGAACCCATCATTTTGCTATCTTAGGTCCAAAACACACTGCAGAAATAATCCAGTTTGAAACCACTTGAGCTGCCCTGGGGTAAGTGCTAGGGAATTCTGAAAACTGTAGTTTTGGGAGGCATTTAGCTTTCCCTGTCAGAGAGCTCTGGCACTGTGATATACTACAATTTCCAGGATTCCCTAGCACTGAGCCAACAACAACACCAAACTGATGTAACTATTTTAAATTGTCCTCAAGTAATTTTGCTGTGTGTGGCATAGTGGTTTGAGTGTTGGACTATGATTCTGGAGACCAGGGTTTGAATCCCAGCTCAGCCATGGAAACCCACTGGGTGACCTTGGACAAGTCATACTCTCTCAACCTCAGGAGAAGGCAATAGCAAACCTCCTCTGAGGAAACTTGCCAAGAAAACCCTGTAATAGAGTCCCCATGAGTCAGAAACGACCTGAAGGCACACAACAACACAACAACAACAGACATATTCATATCAAGCGGGATATGAAGATTTTGATTTTTTTTTTTTTAATTAAGATCTTGTTTCTAATTCAGACAAAAAACTGAAAGGTTCGTGAGCCACAAAACTCCATGGTGATGTTCAGCCTTCATTCGCAAACCTATTCAGGGCAGCCTGTGGTTAGAGATAAGGCTGATAACAACCTCCCTAAACATCCAGATAACTTCAAACCCAAAGGCTTCCTTAGGGCTGCATCCACACTGGAGAAATCATCCGGTCTGACACCACTTTAACCACCATGGCTCAAGGCTATGGAATTCTGGGAATGGTGGTTTGTTGGGACATACATCTTTCCTGTCTCAGTCCTTGAAAAAAAAAAGATATGTAGGGGGCTGTTACTAAGATTTTTCTTTTAGAAAATGTTTTTGTCTGTAAGCCGCCTTAAGTCCCTTCTGGGAGAAAGGCCACATACATACCAATGAAATGAAATGAAATGAAATACAGAAGGTAGGATTTCTGGAACAGGGTGGCCAGATGTCCTCGCCTCAAAGGAGGGCAAGGCATTGCGAAGATGTAGGACATTCGACAAAAATGAAAGGCATGACCAAAGAAAAGCTAATCGACACTTCACCGAAATGCTTCTTAATAAGCTCAAAATGGAGGACATTTTGGGATTCCTCCTGGACAAGAGGTTGAAATGGAGGACGTGTCCTGGGAAAGGATCCTTATCCATGCTCCAAATGGAGGAGATCTGAGATTCTTCCTGGACAGGGAGTTGAAATAGAGAAGACGCGTCCTGGAAAAGGAGGACGCCTGGACAACCTATCTGTGCTCCAAATGGAGGACATTTGGGGGAAATTCCTCCTGGACAGGAGGTTGGAACGGAGGGCGTGTCCGGGAAAAGGAGGACGCCTGGAGACCCTACCCGTGCTTCAAATGGAGGACATTTGGGGGCATTCCTCATGGACAGGAGGCTGAAAATGGAGGACGCGTCCGGGAAAAGGAGGGCGCC